CCTGCAGATCGTTCATCCAGCCTATCTTATTTAGACAGACCTGCGGAGATAATAACACGCACAAAAACAAGACAGAGCAAAACCAAGCAACAAAATAAAACAAAACAACAAAAAGCCAATGACAAACAAAACAAAACAAAAACACAACACAACTACAACAAGAAAGAAAAGCTTGTAGTTAGTCCAAGGACTGTTTGTTGGCCTTTAGGAGTGTTTTCTGGTTGAGTCTGATGTGGTGCCAAGCCCTGGCCCCAAAGTCTATTTTTGGTATTCCCTGGGGACTTCGTTGCTTTGTTCCCCTTGCTGTTCTGTTGCACGCCCTTGACCATCCTTGTTTCTAAGGAGCATTCTGGCTGTATATGTTTTCCAAGACAGATCTGCTTGTTCTTCTGGCAGCCCATGGTACTTGCCATAGTCTTCACCAGCACTGTAATTCAAATTCATCAATTCTGTGGTCTTCCCTCTTCGCTATACAGCTTTCACATACACAGGAGGGCGTCAAAACGCCATGGATGTTGGCAAATCAGTAGCTCTGGAAAACCTCTGGTCAGCGATGTGATGATAGAGGTGCTCAAATCCAAACTGCCATCTAGCTGTTTGGGGATCTTGGTGACCCTACAAGACATGGTAGAACCCACTGCCCCTGTGAGTTTCTGAGGCTGTACATCTGTATGGGAGTAAAAAGCCTCATCTTTCTTCTGGGGAGCAGCTTGTGGTTTTGAACTGCTGACCTTGTGGTTAACAGCCCAACGCATAACCCACGATGCCACCAAGGCTCCTCCCCAAAGTACTTACTTTGTACTTAGTTCACCCCTATCCCCCCAAGAGTGCACAAAACACACCAGTGCAAATGTGCAAAGAAAAGAATCGAGGCTCTTTTTCTTTAAAGAACCCTGGTGGCATAGTGGGCATGTGTTGGGTCGTTAACAACCGCAAGGCCAGCAGGTCGAAACCACCAGCTGCTCTGTGGGAGAAAGATGAGGCTTTTACTTCCATAAAGAGTTGCAGTACCCGGGGAGGGAGGGGAAAAATGAGGACCTAATGCAGGGGGCTTAAGTGGAGAGGAAATGTTTTGAGAATGATGAGGGCAATCAATGTACAAATGCGTTTTACACAATTGATGTATGTATGGATTGTGATAAGAGTTGTATGAGCCTCTAATAAAATTATTTTTTTAAAAAAGAGTTGCAGTACCTACACTGAACCAGAGACGTATATACACCATGGATGAGTGAATGGATTTTGGGCTTGCACTTGATTTAGTCCCAACCTAGGAATGTTGGTTCTTATGAACATGGCCCTGATTGATGCTTGCCCTTATACAGTGATTATGGAAGAGATGGGTACTACAGCAAAGTGTGGTGAGAAGCCAGATGATGCCCAGCTATCAGAATGGTGTCTGGGTTTTAAAGGCTTGTCTTTTTTTAAATTTTTTTTAAGGCTTGTCTTAAACAAGCAGTCAACTAAGTGAGGCACCAATTAAATCCATGCCGGACTATATGATCCAAGGATGGTAAATAATTAAACCCAAATCAGAAGGAGGAAATGGTATCACAGCTTAAATTGTGAGCACCTGTTTTGCAGAAGGCTGTGGATGACAGTGGGAGCCCAGAATCCATTTGCAGGCTCCCTAAATGGATTCTGCCTCTGCTAAATCCCCTGTGACCATACTTGAGGGATGTGAATAGCCTTGCTAGCAGACAGAGACTATCGTGTATGTGGTCATGGTAGACAGACGAGGGGGGGGGGGGCAAAACCTGGATTTCCCCCCGCAAAGCGATGTATTTAATTTTTTTTTAACGAAACAACCTTATCACCTTCATTGGCATACTCTCCATGGCACTTAATATATTTGTCAAATCTGCCATTCCATTCTTGGAACCATTTTTCAAACTCATCTGTTTGGATGGCTGATAGCACCTCCCTTTTTTTTTTTCCTTCACCTCTTCCACATTGTCAAACCACTGTCCTTTCAAGTCCCTTTCATTCACGGAAACAAAAAGAAGTCCCACAGAGTGAGGTCAGGTGAGTCAGGTGCGTGGGGCAAGAGCGGCCTGATGGTTTTTTTCCCCAAAAAACTGGCACACTGAGATGGCTGTGTGAGCAGGTACATTGTCCTGCTGGCAAAACCAGTACCGTCTGCCACAAATCAGGGCTTTTTTTTTTTTTTAAATCAGGGCTTTTTGGTCACACACTGTTACGCAATCTTTTCAGAACCTCTAAATAGCTTGATGAACAACCTGGCCTGGTGGAACAAACTCCTACCGCACAAGTTGATATTTTCATCCATTCAGGAAGTAGATAGGCGTCCAGATGAAGTTTGTCATCCATTGACATTTCACCTTTTTTGAAATCAGAAAACCCCTCGTACACTTGAGTTGTCCCCACAGTGCTGTCCTTGTAAGCTGTGTTCAACATCACAAGTTTCTGTGGCATTTTTCCCATAGCAGCAAACAAAATTTCACAGTAGCACACTGTTCTTTTAAGTCAGACATCACAAAAAATTTTGGGATTGATGTAATGGCAGTGGTGCTTATAATAAAATTTACTAGGGTGCATGCTCAAAAAAATACCTTGAGGGCCATGGCTCTGGCAGTTCTTCAGCCTATAGGAATCAGGAAGGTGTAATCCACCTGCTGTTTCTCACAAGTGCTGTGAGGGCTCTGGGACCAGTGAGGGCGCTGAGCTAGCCATGCCATGTCACTGAAGACAGCCGTTTGCAAAATTGCTATCTGAGGATGGGATTGGGTTGGGGCTGGTCATTGGACATGCCTGTGACCAAAAGAAAAACTCTGCTCTAAAGAAGGGAACTCTAAAAGCCACCAATTTCATTTTTCACGTGTCAGGAGTCAAGGTCAAATGCACAGTCAGAAAACTGCTCCCTGTTACTATCACACCAGCCTTCCCTGGAAACACATGGGATGTCTGACATGAGGGCTTTGCTGGCCTTTTCTGTAGGGAGAGATAATGGCTAAACTCATGGCAAGAGAATGTTCACATTGCTTTATGGGATTAGTAATGTGCCCCAGGAAAAAATGAGGAAGGGCTCCGAAAACGAAGCCAAGATGTCCAGTTCCCAGAGAAATCATTTGGACCAAGAGAACAGGTGGAACAGATAATAGTGCCAGCAAGAGCTAAAATACTGCAGTGGGTTTCCAGGCTCCCACGGGAGACCCGCCAGTGGACTCCTGAGAGGATCCTGATGGGGACCTTGAGGGAACTGTGTGGCAGGTATGTGCTCCGCAATCAGGTATTTTCTTTAAGGTTTATGCCAGTTAAAAGTTTTTATAATTAATGATTGATTTTCTTATTTGAAATAAATGCACAATTACTTTTTAACCCCCACCCATTTTTTATTGTGAATTAGGTGGTTTACAGAGCAGATCAGTTTTCCATTCAACAGTTGGTACATATTGATTCAGTTCTTCCATTACAATCCACTCTATGTACCCTGGCTTGTCCCACTTCCTCCCAGTTTCCTCTTTTCATTCCTCCTCCCTTTCTAACTCTCTGCACTTTGTCCTTAGGCAAATGCTGGCCTTTCCATCTTAAATGGCTTATTATTTGAACACAGAGGTGCGTTCAGTTCCAGGACTTTCTGATGTGATCCCTTTCAGAGCAGTTGGTAGTGGGAGCCGGGCACCATCTAGCTTTTCTGGTTGTGTAGATGCTTGCATGGCCCATTGGATTCATTATTTCCAGGAGTTTTCTATCTTCACCACAGCTTCTTTCCTCTGGAGAGGAAGAGACCTGGGTGGCTGCTCATGAGTTTTAATACTCCAGTCTCTATTCTTTCAATTAGGATGTAGACCATTGTCTTGTGAATTGTTATGCCAGTTGACCTTGGTGTGCCCCTCCAAGTATGGTCTTGAATCCCCAGGTCCAGTGACTCACTCCTCCTGGTGTTTGGTTCTCAGTTTTTCATGCCTTTGTCCCTGTGTGCTCTACCACAGTCAGGGACAGATTTGCAGCAAGTCTCCCCACCCCTATACAAAGCTCCTCTGTCAGCCACTCTGTGTTTGTGGTTATGCTTCCACCCCCCACCCCCCCGCACCCCCACCCTCGGTCACCTGCTTAATCTATCTAAGCGTCTACTCAGGGACCACCACTGTTGCTGCAGACATCTTGATGGGGTACGGCTGGAAATCAGGGAAGGGTAAGGACTGCTGTTATTTTGGTCTACTTGGGTCATCAGTTTTCCTCCCAGGACCCACTCTTCCTCCACTGCGGTGCTTGTGGTTTGCATATAGATAAGACCACCCCTGGTTCTTGAGGGTGGGGGTGCAGCCAATTAGAACCCCAAAGATTGATGCGCAAATGGCCCCACCCCCCACCCACAACCAATGAGAGTGAGTGCAGGGACTTGTGCTGGGACTGCTGAGAAGGCAGATCTTTCTGAGGCCTTTGTTTCTGCTGTCCCCTCCCCCAACCCCCACCCCCGAGAAGACAGCGGGTTGGGCAAGAAGTCAGTGCAGACAAAAGCAGAGTCCGGAGCTGGAGGGAGCCCACTTCCTGATGATGACATCACTGACATTAGAACCACCTCGGGCTTGTTCATCAATAACCCACCCCACCTTTTATTTTGCTTCAGTCAGCTTGCGTCACTGTAACTGACAAGAACAATCTGCCTCGTGAAGAGAAGGCCGGGGGAAGACTTCCCAGGTGGCAGAGGAGGCCTGCAGGCCATGCCAAGCTTTGGCAAGTGGAACAGCCTGCTCTCCATACTGCCACCCACTTCCTAGCCCATCTTAGGCAAGTGGTGGATGAAGTAGACCTGACACTTGACATTGGTAAGTGACTTCGGCAACCCCTATCTGAGGAGGTGACCTGGGCCCGGCTAGAGTTGGAAGGGGACAGGGTAGCGGTTTGGAATGAGCGAAAGACCTACATTTGTCACTTAGACTTTTCCCTTTAGTGATGGCTTGATCAACCCACGGGCTTGACATAAGCAGCAAAAAGGAATCTAACGAATGGACAAAAAAAAAAAAAACAACCAACACCCAAACTCACTGCCATCAAGTGGATTCCAAGTCAGAGCGCCCCTGGAGACAGAGCAGCACTTCCCCTGTGGGTTCCTGAGAGCCTCATCTTTGTCCCATGGAACAGCTGGTGGATTCCAACTGCCAATCTTGTGGTAAGCAGCCCAACGCCTAATGCACTACGTCACCAGGGCTCCATTTTAACAGAGGGAAGCAGGTGCCTACACAGTTGTTGGCAAGGATGGAAGAACAGGCTTGGGGGTAACACCCAGGAAAACATCGTACTGGCCCACCAAGGCAATTGCCATCTCTACCCAGCTGCAGGTTCTAAGTCTCCATCACCTTAGCTACATATAGTCTGTGCTTATAAAAGAGAAAATAGGCCCTCTGCTCCAGGACACCCACAAAGCTAGTGGGGAAAAAATCAACTACCTGCACCATTGCATTTATCAAAAGCCCAGCCCCACTTACTCTCTCCCTTTCAAATGTTCCACTCTGGCAGAAGCAAATCACACGATTACACCCTAGTCATGGGGTTATACCTGACAAACTCCCAAATGTGGCCACTGGGCAGCTCCAGCTGCCCATCTGCTTTCAGGTTCCCAGCACAGCACCCAGCCCAGTGGCACTCTCTTGCTTACCTTGTCTGCTTCCTTGCTAGGGTCGTTGGTTGGGAGGCCCATGTCGGTAACAGGTGTGCCACTGAAAAGTTGCTGGTTGGGAGAAGCCTAGGGTTGCCTTCAATGGTGGGGACATGGGGGCACGGGTGATTCCAGATTGGCCTATGGAGACGGAGACGGGGCTACGGGACTTCACCAGATTCTTCTGTCTACTTGGGTTTGCATTTCTCATTCAAAGGCAACTCCACGTGTTGTGCCTGGGGTAGTATCAGCATTTGGAAAATGACATGCTTCCCTGCCTCTCTTTGCCTCTGGATTTTATGTCTACTCCAGGAAAATACCTCAGAGTTCCTAGGGTTTGGGCTTCTAAGCCTTTGGCCAAGTCAGCTGCTCAGAGCATTGTGAGAAATGCTACCCATCACACCAGCTCCTCCGTGTGGGCAACAGCGGGGGTGGGGTGGGGGTGTCTCCACAGCCGGGGCAGAGGCAGAGGGAGAAGGCACACCACAACAGTTCCATCTCAGCCACAGATGGGCCCATCATTGGCAGGAGCTCCGAGACGGGCTGTCTGCTAAGGTGTGTGTGTGTGGGGGTGGCGGGGGTCCAGGGAGTTCCCCACCTCTAAACATGCCCCCAGAGCCTAAGGGCACCGCTGCTTGGCCCTGGATGACAACACTGGATTCACTGGGGTCCACTTGGAGCCATCCGTTTATTCCGAGGCCATCTTGCAGACAGTGCCCCCAGACCAAGGAAGTGGCCACTCGCTGCCACAGGGCATCACAGTGAAGCGGGTTGCCCCTGAAGAAAGGGAGCCAGTGAAGATGCCCGGCAGGATGTGATGCTGTTCCTTGGCGACAGCAGGTGTGTGTGTCCCTGTGAGGAGCAGCTTTAGGACAAGAAGGACTTGGGTACCTGAGGTCATGTGACAGAGTGTGGTGGGGCCAGTCCAGCAACCCGCCCACCACCACCTCAAGGCCACGCTTCAGTGAGTGACCACCACAGAGCCCAGCGTGTGTGGCAAGCACGCCCTCGCCAGGAGGGGCCCGCTAGCTGACTGTGCTCCTTCTCGGGACGCAGCCTTCCATCTCCAGTGCCTCAGGCCAGCCCTCGTACTTGTTGGTGTGCTTGCTGTTCTTCACATGCTGCCGAGGAGTGGGGAGGCACCAGGTCACAGGCTGGCTCTAGCCGAGGGCGGGGAGCGGGCAGTGAGGCAGCCCTGTCTGGAGGTGGGAGGCCAGCCTGTGGGCCCACCCTCTCACTGGGGGCCTGGGGGGAAGAATCTGCTGTAAGCACAGAGCCTAAGACACGTGAGGTCCTGGGCCTCCAGGTGGCGAGGATCAGCTTGAGCCTTCAGCTACCAACGGGACAACTTTGTCATTTAAAGATCCTTCTGGGTGAAAGGTACACAGGCTGGGGAGGGGGCATCAGCAGAGGGGCCCTACCTGCTCGAAGGGGCTCTTGTCTTGCACGCCCTTGGCCCCCACGAAGACCCAGCTGTCTCGGAAGGCTAGCTCTTTGGCGTTGCGGCTGCCAAGCTCACTGAACAGCCTCCTGGTCTCCTCGTTCATCCTGCCACCACAGAAGGGAGGGATAAGGGCTGGGCCAGGGGCATGGCAGGGGTGGGCAAAATGGTGGTGCTGGCCTGGAATCACGTACTTGGTAGCCGGGTCGTCATAGGAAGCCACAAACACCAACGTGCCTTCGTGCAACGGTCGGATGAACTTCAGCAGGTCGTTGACATCTGGGGGGCAGGTCACACGAATATGGAGCTCGCTGGGACTAGAGTAGGACCACCCAGGCAGGCGGGGCACACCAGGCCTTCTCCTGCCACTCACCTCCGGCCCACATGTCGAAGGCCCTGGCCTCAATGAGTTCCCCGCTGACCCCTGCATGGAGGGAGAGAAGCAGTGTTTCAAACTGCTCCTATTTTTATTCTCACTGCCCCCCGCCCTCCGCCAGCCTATGTCTCAGGCTGCAGCAAACCCACCTCACCCCTCCCAGTCTTTTCTTCTGTAAGGCCACAGGTGGGGCAGGGGCGGGGAGAACAGGGCAAAAGGGGCTCACCATTCACCAGGGCGATGTTCAGCCCACGGCCAACGTTGTCTTTGACACTGCTCATGAGCCTGGGGACAGCATGGAGCCACCATGGGTATGTCAGATGTGCCCTCAGTCACTTAGCACCCCCCTTCCTATAAGGCTTCCCTCTCCACCCCTCACTGGGCATCCCAAGCCTCTTACATCTTGTCCTCAAGGCAGATCTTGGGCCCGATGACATTGGCCGCCCCACTGACCATGCGGAAGGCCAGGTGCTCCTCGGGGCATGGTTGGGGCAGCCCACACTTGTACTTCCTGGCCCGCGGCTCTGGGTGGAGAGAGCAGGGGGTGATCCCCAGGCCTGGACAAGCGATGGCAACAGGGACCCCAGAGCAGAGGATTTCAGGGAGCAGGGTACGGCTCTGGCCTGGGCCCTGACCACGGAGCCTGTCCTGCTGGGGCTAGCGAAAAGCACCCCAAGGCAAAGGCCACTGGAGGGACAAGAGAAAGAACAGGTCCCGGGGACCTGCTGGTAGGTTCCCCAGGCATGGCCACTCCCTTAACTAGTCCCCAGCCACGCTGATCCGGCCTTACCTGCTGTCACGGAGTTCTCTGGGCCTGTGGGGACAGAGGCAGGTGCTGTGAGTGCGCAGGCCAGTCTAGCCCTGCCCCAGGAAGCCAGAAGCAGAGGGTGGCACCAGGATGCTCAGTCGGCAGGGTACAAAGTATCCAGGTGCAGTGCTGCCAGTGAAGGGCTGGTTACGTGCTTGGCTGCTAACTTAAAGGTTCGTGGTTCCGACCCACCAGCCACTCCACAGGAGGAAGCTGTGGCAGCCTGCCTCTGTAAAGATGGCAGCCTAGGAAACCTTAGGGGACCGGATCGACAGGGCAGATCCACTCTGTCCTATGGAGTCGCTGTGAGTCAGAACTGACAATGACAATAGGGTTGGCTTTTGGTTTCGTCATCAATGGCGAGGTGCAGAGTCCCCTAGTCCTTTCCCAGCAGCCACCGGAGTACCATGCCCAATGTTCAGAGGAAGCCCCTGCCCCTCCCACTGACCCTACTGACTATAAGTGGGCAAGGAGAATTCTAACCAGCATGGGGACTGGGTGGTAGGGAAAGGCTGCAATTGCCAAGCGACAGAAGGCCGGCTAGCGATGGCCTGAGGGCAGAGAGAAGACCTGACTCACTGGCAAAGAGCTGCGGGATTCGTGAAAAGGCGCTGCCTGGCCCGCCCAGGAGGGTGCTGATCACAATCCAGGTGAGGCCAACGGTGAGGATCAAGGCCACAATGCGGAGGGGACCTGAGGCAGGACCAACACGGGCAGCCGGGCTCAGAGCGCACCAAGGCTGCTCCCGCCATCTTCCCTCCTACCCGGGAGGGAGAGCAGGGCAGGCCAGTGAGCACTGTCAACCCACCAGGTTCCTGGCTGCTCAGGCTGGTGTTCCCTGGCGGGGTAGGGGTCTTCCAGCACCCACCACTTAGGAGGAGCCCCAGTTCTCATTAGGAACCCCTTACTCTACCCGTATATTTGTGTCCCATCTCCTGTGCTGGGTCCCAAACTCTGTCCTCGGTCTACTTGTCACGTGGACCCTTGTTTCCTTGTCATTCTTCGCCCTCCTAACATCTCCCCTTTTTTAAAAAGGGAAAAAGCTATCCTTTAAGACCCAAGACTGCATGCTCATTCAGCTGCCAGGAGTCCCGGTGGCACTGTGGGGTGAGTCATTGGGCTAACCACAAGGTCAATGGTTCAAATTGAGCAGCTGTTCCCCTGGGAGAAAGAGGAGGTGCCTGCTCCCATGAAGATGGATGGCCTCGGAGGCCTTATGGAGCAGCTCACCTCTGTCCCAGAGGGTCGCTCTGAGTCACTATGAGTCAGAATGGACTCGAGGGCAGGGGGTTTGGTTGATCCAGCCACTGATCTCTCTCCCTTCCCTCCTCTCCTCAGCAAACTCAAGTGGACACTTGCTCTTTCCATCCATCAGCTCATTTCCCACTCTCCCCCACTTAGTCTCCTCTCCCTGGGCCCCATCCCTCCACTGACAGGGCTGATAGGCAGCCCTGATGGTGCCCGCCCCCCGCCTGGCCATTCTTCCCTCCAGCTCTGTCCTCTCCCTTGTCTCATCTTCAGGCTGCCCTCTCTCTGCCTGCACCCTCCCTAGGTGAGCCCACCTTCCTGAGTTCACTGCAATGACTTCCACTTTTCCAGCTCCAGTCGGACCCAGCCAGCTCAGTATTGACATCTCCAAATGATCCTTTCCCCAAGGCTGCTTCGTTGCAGCTGGCAGACAAGGCTGCCTTTGGGTGGGCAGGTGTCACTCTCTCCACCTGTGCCCCACAATCACCTTACTCTGGATTCTCACTGCAGACTGGGGAACCAGGTATCTCAGGGGTGCCAGGACTTGCTCGGATCATAGAACCAGGCACAGGCAACTCCCTTCGTTCCTCCTACCTGCCAACCTCATGGCCGCCTCTCCCACTGGGCTGGGGCCGCCGGGAGTCGCAGCGTTCGGGGAACAGCGTCAGAACAGGTTTGGGGGCGAGAATGCCAGTTCAGAGCGACTGGGAGCGGGCGCCGTCCTGCCCCTTGCTCAGCCACCGGCAGCAGAACTTGGGAAGTCTGCCTCGGGCCGGGAAGTGGACGTGAGGCCGCTGCGCTCAGGGCCACACTTGGCGAATTGCCCGGCAGAGAGAGCCCGGCGCGGTTCTGCCAGTTGCCACTCGTTTCTGCCAGGAACGATGCGCACCGCGGCCCACAACGCTGGGCAATGGCCGCCCGCGGGAGGAGCTGGCCTCGGCTCCGCCACGCCCCCGTCATTTGCTTGGGCAGTGAGTGGGCGGGGCGTGCTTCAGCCCAGCCCCCGTTGTGTGTGCTGGTCAGGCTATTGGATCGCTGACTGGGGTGGGGCTGTCGGTGGCCCCGCCCCCAGTCTCTACCCCCATCCGGACCCCAGACTGTGCGCTTGCCCTTCGCCGCCTGGCAGTGTCCTAGGAGGCTCGCCTAAGGCCCGCCCTGCAAGTGTCTTCTTAAGAGAGCACCGCCTCCCTAAGCAGGAAATGCTGCGCATGTGCTGGTGCCCTGTGGCCTGGTTTCTGGGGCCTGCCAAGGGGTGAATGGGAAGTGGGTGGAATTAGCAATTGTTCTAAAATTGATCCATGTGCGCTTTAGAAATAGGGATGGCACAAAAGAGTATGTAAGGGAAAACCCCAAAGCCAACCAGGGCTAGCTGGGGTTCCCACACTCAGTGGAGGGCAGCTATGAGGTGGGATGGGAGCATCTGAGAAACATCCCTGCCCTTGACCCAATAATTCTGCTGACCAGAGGACCCCTCTGTCGAAGGAAACAATCTAAAATATTGAAGAAGGCCATGGGGCCAAGAGGTGATGGAGCGCCCCCTGAATGCAGTCCCTCTCTCTGAGCTTGAAGCACCTTCACTGGCTCCCTGATGAAGGGGACCCAAGGCAGCAGCTGGGTGGTGCAGCCAGGCTTTGGGTCCCAGCAGTTTGTGTGATGACAGCCTGGTTATTCAGGCCCCGGACTGAGGCGGGAGGGGTGCTTGCTAGCCAGCCAGGTAGTTCTTAGAGGACTGTTTACATCTTGCTCAGAGCAGGCGATTAGGAAAGGTTGCCTTAATGAGTCCCCCTGAGGGTCCAGGGGCCAATCCCCCTTCCCCCAGGGTGCCGCCAAGTGGTTCAGTCACAGACCTGAGCTTCCGTGCCTTGTGGGGCAGGGCTGCTTTTCGTGCGTACGCACAGAGGTCCTTCCTCTGCCTTAACTGGGTCTACTGTGACTGAGCCTCAGCTTTCCTTGTTGGGGATTTATCTCCCCAGCAAGGTTCATGTTCCGGAAGACCACCATCTGTCATTCCAGGTCACCACTCAGCACTCAGAATGCCTTCGGCAGCGCTCAAGTAGGGGAGATAGCAAACGGGTGTGGGGTGCCCCTGTAATAGGTGCTTCTAGACTTCCTCTAAGAATGCTACCCTGGAGGATTTTTTCAGACCCTTTTCTGAAGAAGGGAAAATCCAGAATGCACACACAGCTACAAGATGAACTCAAACAAGAGGGCTGAGGTCTTTACGAGAAGAGTGCAGGACCTGGGTGCTGCGGACCAAGGGGTGGCAGGCCTGATGGCCCTGGGGAGAGGCGAAGGGAGCTGGGAGTAGGGTTAACAAGATGTCACAGAACCACACTCCATAAGGTCGTGTGTATGAAGGAAGCAACGCACCAAATAATACTGTTTGATTTCTATTTGGGGGTACATATATCCATGTGTAAGAGGATTCATGGTGACACATGGCCTAAGCGTTGGGCTGCTCACCACAATGTCAACCATTCAAGCCCACCAACTTCATTATGGGACAGAGATGTTGTTTTCTGTTCTCATAAACATTTAGAGCCTCAGAGATGGATTTTGGGTGCCTACTTAACTCTAGTCCCAGTCAAGAACAGTTAGTTCTGATCACATGGCACAGCTCCATAGTTGCCTTCATGAAATGATCACTGAAAAAAAGAAAGACAGACAGACAGAAAGAAAGGATCACTGAAGCTAAGGGTGCTACAGCAAAGTGTGGTGAAGAGAGCAGATGGTGCCCGGCTATCCATCGGAATAGTGTCTGGGGTCTTAAAGGCCTGTATTCAAACACGCAGCCATCTAAGTGAGGAGTCAACTAAGCCCACACAGAAGAAGCACGCCAGCTTGTGTGCTTCAAAGATGACAAGTACAAAATTCAAATAGGATGAAGGGAGAAGTGTAAGAGCTGAAATTGTGAACACACATTTGCGGAAGGCTGTGGAGGATGACAGTGGGCGCCCAAAACCTACGTGCAGAGTATCTAGTCGCGTTAAGCCACTGGCAGATCGCCTCTAGTTGCAAGCAAGGGACTCAAACTAGTTTTACTATGAGACAGAGATTATTGCAAACTTGATGATGGTGGCTCGAACTACAGTATTGTGAGGGGAGGTCAGGTGCACAAGCACTTTCCCCCCTGAGGGGGATCAGTTGCCAGGCTGCACTAGCCCTACTCCCTGCTGCTAGAGACAATGGGTTACCTCTCTCTGGAGCCTAAGGCCATTAGTTTGGTTCCTGTGGGCTGAGTTCACACCCAACTGATAATGGTTCCTATGGAGACCCAAAATCAAGTTAAGCTGCTACCAGAAATCTAGGATCGCCCATCTTGCCGCATGTACACCCCCAATCCCTCCTCCTTCTATAGCGTGTGTGTCCCTAGATCGCCCCCTCCCATCACTGTAATACCTGTAGCACAACCCTTTCCTGTGACGTATGTCTTCACCTGTAATGTGGGGGCTTGCACGTACCCAACATCCCCAGAGAGTATAAAAGCTTGGGGAGCATTAAAGTTCGCTCTCCCGCCACGTGGATTACCAAGCGGGGCTGAGGTGAGCATGCTACCTTGAAATGTGTCTGACTCCATTTATTTCTATACATCTCTTTTATCTGTCATGCTCTCTATAACTTTACTATAATATTTACTTATTATCGCTGTACAATTGCGCCTACCAAACCCGGAGTGATTGTGCTAGGAGCTGGCTTCTTCTGGCACAGTATAATACTTGGTCAGTTGACCTCCCTGGTTTTGCTCTACACTCAAATATTTCTTGCTTGTTCCATGTCAGACGTTTCTTCTCTGGCTTTTAAAATATGATGGGTGGTGTTTTCTGTCTTACGCTTTAATTTGATCATATTTTTTCCTTTCTGGTTCATTTTGTTTTGTTTGTTTCTGCTAGGGCTCCCAATTGATATAGCGCAGAATAACTGATGCAATGGGTTCTTGGGGATGGGGTTGGGGGGTGAGGAGGGTGAGGGAAATTGGGGAGCAAACAATGAATGCACTAGAACTGATCGTGGTGATGTATATACAACGCTATAAAAGTGACTGAACTATGGAAGTGTATGATATGTGAATCTTAAATCAATAAAACCACTAAAAATTTTGTTGTGGCCTCGTAAGCCCAAAGGGGCAGTTCTACTCTGTCTGCTGGCATTACTGTGGGTGGGCATCAACTCCATGCAGTAGGAAGGCAAGTTGACATGTGCGTAAGAGTACGACAGATTTCTGGATGGACGCCCACTCAGTTCCTGGCAGTTGTGACTTGTGGGGTGGGGCAAAGGTGAGTGAAATCAGGAAGTGAGTTATCTGTTTCCTTTTTCCACCCCCAACCCCAACTTCATTCTGAAATAATTGCTGGTGGCAGCCACTGTATCAAGCAGTCCAGCAGTCCCTCCGAAAGGCTTTTCATATGACCCAGCGATCGACCGAGGTCTCCAAGTGTACCCCCACCCCCCACGAACGGAAGAAACTGGAAGCCACCCAAATGTTCCTCAACAGATGGGGGTACACGCGATGGCGTTCATGCTAACATCCCCGATGTGCCGCGACATGGATGAGCTGGGAAATCATTGTGCTGGATGGAAGAGGAACAAAATACTGGATGCTCTCATTCTATCCCATAAAGCCAGTACCCCATCAGGGCTGGGAGACAATGGGTTGATGTGAGTGGGGGTGAAATATTTTGGAAAAGGATAGCGATAAAGGCAGGGCAAAAGGGAAGTAGCATCTTTCTGGAAGCAGCCCGCTTCATATTTCTCCTGTGAAGTGGCTAGTGGGTCTGAACCACAGTCCAACGCTTCCCTGACCACACGTAGCTTCCTCCGATGGTGACATTTTCTATCACTGCAGTCCCTTCCAAACCCAGGACAGACAGACACCTGTCACTCTTCGCCAACGGATGCAGTGTGTGTGTGTACCCACGTGTGAACCACGGCCACTGTCAAGATACGGACTGTTCTGTCACCACAGAGGAAGTCCCCCATCGACCTTTCTGTATTCACACCCGTTCCCTCCACTGCTCCACACCTCCTCCTCTGCTCCCCACCTTTAGAAGCCTGCTCTCGAAGAATATTCCTGCATCACCGATATTCCTGATGGCAGAGAGGATGCCGGACAGGAACTCACAGGACCCACGACTTTGGGTCGAAGAGAGACTTTGGAAGAGCTAGATTCGGAATGTGAAGAAGATTCAAAGATCCTTTCTTTCACTGAGTTCCCTCATTTTTCCTTTCAATGTCTGATAAATAAATCTACATCTGAATGAATCTGAAATGGCACTTTTTAAGAAAAGAAATGGGCTGAGAGAGAGAGAGAGAGAGAGAGAGAGAGAGAGAGAGAGTTGGGGCGGTTGGAAGACTAGAAACTCGGCCAAGAGTTGCTGTTTGATTCAAAACACAATTTGCTTTTGTTCTTGTGGAGAATCTACAGTCAGACAGACACCAATTCACCAGTTTGGGCAACATTTTGCGCGCCCCCCTCCGGCCTTCTGGTGGGGTTATGCGTTGACTTGCTAAGCACAAGGTCAGTAGTTCTAACCCACCCACCACTCCTTGGGTTAAAGAGGAGACTCTCTACTCCCGTGAAGAGCTACAACCTTTGGAAACCCACAGGGGCAGTTTCGCCCTGTCCTACAGGGTCAGTGTGTCAGACTGCTCCTCCCTCATTAACATAAGCTCACTGCCCCCTAAGGCCAATGTATCTCCAAGAAGCAAGTTTCCGAGTGGTTTCTAGGGGGTGGGCAGGAGGTTGCTTATGGGTACTGAGGGTTGGCTTACAGAGACAGAAGGAGCACAGTGACGAAGGGTGCACTTGTACAGTGCTTATTGCAATTGCTGTCAATAAACTGTAACCTGTAGAATGTTGTTTTGGTAAAAGTTGTGTGA